TCAATGGTGCTGCAGGCCCTGGCCAACCATCGGGGTCAGTTTATGGACATTTTGTCGAATGGTCGGGCAGGGTGCACAATGCCTGCGTATTTTGCAACTCCAGCCTCTACGGGAAGCTGGAGGTGGACACATTCTTCCCCCAGTGTGACTTTGAAGTTGGGGACGTGCAGATACCACTGTGCAGCATGGGGATGTGGCCTACCCCGATGCCGTGGCTAATGAAACCATATACCAGCCACCTGGACCCCAGCTGGGACCAATTTAATTCCCACCTCAGCTGGTGAGGATGCAGGTGGAATGCGCCTTCAGCTGCCTCAAGATGCAGTTCTGGTGTCTCCTAACCTTTCTCGACGTGGGGGAACACAACATCCCTGAGTTCGTCTTGGTGTGTTGTGTCCTCCACAACATTTTGGAGAAGAAGGGGGAGGTCTTCCTACCTGGGTGTGGGGCAGAGGCCGGCTGCAAAGGGAGACCCTTCAAGCAACTATGGACAGCTGCCATCTGCCAGGACCATCCGTTGGGGGTGCACACCCAGGAGGCTGAGGGAATGTTTCTCGCAGGGACCCCAGTAACTCTCCCCAAGGCCTCCCCCCTAGAGCCTGGGCCTTGCTTCAATATCCCTTTCCCACCACAGTCCCCTCCCTTCTCCCTTCCCTGTACAGTCAATAAACATACCTGTTTTGATTTCAACAGAACAAACTTTTCATGTATCCTTCATTTAAAAAAGCTGGGGAGGAGGGGGGCTCATAACCTGGAGTGGGGAGGAAAAAGGGGGGGTCTCAGGGCTGGGAGTGGTGTGGGGGGTAGCTGGAAGTGCCAGCTTGGGTGTGGGGACCTTGGCAAATATAGGATTGGGTGTGTCCTGGGACCCCATAGAGGTGGATAGGAGGGGGTGCTGGAATGGGGTCAGGGATGGCAGGGGAAGGGTCATGTTCTCTAGCGACAAGAGTGATTAAAGGTCTAGAGAACATGACCTATGAAGCCAGGCTTCATGAACTGGGCTTGTTTAGTTTGGAAAAAATAAGATTAAGGGGGGACATGATAGCGGTTTTCAAATATCTAAAAGGGTGTCACAAGGAGGAAGGAGAAAATTTGTTCCTCTTGGTTTCTGAGGACAGGACAAGGAGTAATGGGCTTAAAGTGCAGCAGGGGAGGTTTAGATTGGACATTAGGAAAAAATTCCTAACTGTCAAGGTGGTCAAATATTGGAATAAATTGCCAAGGGAGGTGGTGGAATCTCCCTCTCTGGAGATATTTAAGAACAGGTTAGATAGACCTCTGTCAGGGATGGTGTAGACGGAGCTTGGTCCTGCCTTGAGGGTGGGGGGCTGGACTCGATGACCTCTTGAGGTCCCTTCTAGTCCTATGATTCTATGATTCTATGAAGGGGAGGGGGTATGGGCATCATTTGAGGAGGGGGCATGGGCATCACTTGGGGAGAAGGCAGAAGCATAGCAGGGGAGGGAGCAGAGGCATTGCTTGTGGGGCAGAGGGGGGGAATGGGCATAGTGGGGGGGGCAGGAGGGTGGGAGGCAGGAGC